TAATTTGTAAAAATAATAAAAGTGTAATTGTTTAATTTAACACAAATTTTTCAGTAATTACACTTAAAATTTAATTTTCTTCGAGTAAAGATAAGCAGTAAAGTTTTTCTTGTAATTAATTTATTATATTTACGAAAAAAAATTTGCTAGCTAAAACTTATTGAGTTTTTTCTCTTTTTTTAAAAACTTTGTTATAAACAATAAATAAAAGTGAACCAAACAATGCCTTCACAAATAGTTGTTTGACTAACATTTTAAAAAATGTAAAAATTTGAAAAAAATAAAATAAAATCAATATTATAGGATTTTATTAAAAAATAAAAAATATCAAAAAGTACTGCAATTATGCAAATTTTTATCAGAAATCAGTGCAGTAATGCACGAAATGCTAACTTTTAATATATTTATAGCAATAATTTTTATTAAATTTTACTTTATGAAATCGTATTCTTAATTTTTTAAGTTTTCTTTTATTTAAACATTGAATATTTGATAGCTAGGCATAGAATTTGATATTTCCAGTTTAGGTATGTATTTTTTACCGTAAAACTTTTCATTGTAATGTTTAATAATTGAAAATTTTTCATTCAACTTAAATGTTTGATTATTTTAGAATTTTTTAGGTCAATAATGAGGCATTACTGACATCATTTCAATTTTTTTCAATGCTTTTTTTGGAATTTTAGATTTGTCACAATGGAAAGGAAATAACAGTTCAATTGGATATGTCACATTTCATGCCTCAAGAAATGCAAGTAATAAATTTTTTTTATTTTTGTTATTTTAGCAATTTTTTGCATCAAAATTTTCACAAAATCAATAATAATTATTAATTAAAAATATATTTGTCAAATATTTAAAAACATTTTTTTTTAAATTTTTCATTTTTTGCAATAACATTTTTCTCAAATTTCGAAGAAATTGAGCAATTTTGAAAAATTTAACCATATTTGATTTGCTTATCATATTTAGATAAACTGAAAATTTATTAAATTTGATTTTAGTTTTTTAAATTTCTTATAGTTACAATTATTTACAACAAATTATTTTGATAAAAAATGAACTTATAGATAATTATAAACAACAACGAAATGATAGTGACTGCAATGGCAACTGTAATATTTGATAGCAAAAATTCCGTTGATAAAATATTTAAGCGAAAATTTTTGTTTGCATCTAACATTCTGCACGATGCCGTCAAAACATCTATCGATAGGTATTAAACTTTTGCTATTAAAAATAAACTTGTAGAAAATTCGAAAATTCCTATAAAATTTTTCATATTTAATCTTTAAAATTCTGAAGGATTTCTTATAATATTTTATATTGTATTCGTTAAAGTTTGAAGCAATTAAGTTTATTTTCTTTTTTTTGAAATGTAATTTTTTTTGATAATTGTAATAAACTTAAATAAATATAATCTAATTTACTTTACAGTTAGTTTTTTAGTAAGTATTAATATGAGTTTCATTTTTCCACGCTTTGCATGCTATTAAAATTTTACAGCAAAAAAAAAATTAATTTGACTACAAACTATTATTTTTCTTATTAATTAATAAAAATAAACATAATCATTTTTCATAGAAATTTGCAAAAAAAAAAAATTTACAATAACAATATCAATTTTAGAAATTGATAAAGTTTTGCACAGGTTAGCATATTTTAAACTTCAGGCATTGTAACCATCTCATTTATTTATTTCCATAATTTTTTCTTGAATTTTGTACAAATCAAACAGATTGTATTTATTTAATTCAAAGTAAATTAAAGTTTACATACGTTTATTTCTCACTCTAAATGCAATCATTTGCAATATTTTATAGAAAATACAATTCTGTATTTTTGTAGAAGCAAATTTGAAAGAAGAACCAGTTTCTTTCAGTATTTTAATAAAAATCCAATTTAAAATTGATAACAAAACCAAACATTTGCAGAGAACGAAGAATTATTCTGAAAAACAAACAAAAAATTATTGTGCTAAAATAAAATTATCTTGTTAAGATACAAAATTAAAAATATCAAAACTATTTGTAATAAAATAAAGTAATAATTTAATCAGCGATCGCTTTATTATGGCTTAGCAATATTTTGCAGTCATTTCTTATTAATTTGTTAAATTGAATTAAAACTTAATGTGATATTTTTTAGGTTCTATATGGTTACAATCAAAGCACAGCTAGTCTAATTTGTATAATAATCACAGGTAAATGTCGGGAAGTATTTATATGTCAATATATGATGCAATATACTGGGAAATGATGGTTTCTCGCAATTGTAGAAATTATTTGTTGTACTGAAATATTAAATGAATTTATAAGGCCCAGAAAAAAGTGTACAATAATATGCACACATATAAATATACAGTCATACAAATTAATAAATAAATTTGAAAAAAAAAAGGCAATGCGTAATGTAAATGTATTTGACGTTTACTTTACGTACCCAGAAAAATCTTTGTAAACAAATGCGCATCAAAGTACTTGCATTAATTAACTTGTACAAAAACATTGAATACATTGTAAATTGTAAAAAAAAAAAATTGAAATTAATTATTTTGTTTAAAGTTTTTTCATATTTTGTCGACAAGCGTGGAAATGAACGAAGACAAAAAGTATATTTGTGCAAAGGTAAAAAGTAAGCTTACTTTTGAGTGAAATACTAATAAAAGACTTTTTTCATTCATAAAAAACTTTAGATTGCCAAAAAATGAAAAATTTAATCTTATAATAATGCTAAATTAATTTACAAAAAGAGTAAAGATAAATGAAAAGATCTGCAATAATATAATTTACTAAAATAATCTTTAAAATCTCACTTGACTGATTATATTGAATTAGGATAGACTTTTGCTTCAGCGTAAGCAATTTTATATTTGTTGACAAAATCTAAATTAGTAGTTTTATAAATAATATTATTTTTAATCACTTTTGTTTTGAAATACTGTTTCATTAATTCCGAAATTATGTTTATGCGTTTGTTAGTCTCACTTTCGGATAAAATAATTCACTAAAAGTTATTTTTTTTTCGATATAAATTTAGCATAATTAAGAGAAGTAATAATTTAAATAACTTACATTAAATTTATTTTTGTAATAATAATATGTAATCAAAGAGTGTGAGAAATAAATTTACAATAGTCGGCAAATATTGCATTGAAAAGTGATTGTAGTAATAGAGTAATGCTAATAAATTGTTGTAATAATCTTATAGAAAACATAATTCATTAAGAAGACTGTAAATAAGATTACTTTCGGAATGTGTACGTTTTCCAGAATGCTTATTGTTGTATAAAGTGAAATAAATAATAAAATCTGGATTAGCAAGAATACTTTGCATATTAAGATAGCACCTATCCATTTGTCCTCATCCGATTACTTATACTATACTGTATAAGATCTGTGATGTTCAAATGTTTTAGGATTATTACATCAAATCCTTCTTTATTACTTTTTTAAATAAAATACACAAAATGGTTGCAATACGCAAGTAAAGTTAAATATTGCAAATATTATATTAAATTATTGTTGACAAATGTAATATCCCTTAAAATTAAATACAGTCTTGATTGTAATTAGCAATGATTAGTTAGATGTGTACCTGAGAAATACTTGTACACACAAATTTACTTGTCCCACAGCAAGAGCACAAAGTAATTTACTGCGAAGAAAGTAATTTAACAACATCACCTGCTGTGAACAAATCACTTCTACTGTAAACAGTTTCGCGGATAAAGATGGAATTTTAAATTATGATATGCTATGAATTATTAAAGTTTTCTATAATGAACATAAATTAATAATATGTGCAATAATTGTAGAGATAAAGCGTATGCATGATTAATTTCATCCATTAATGTACAAAAAACAAGTAAATATATAATTAATTAATTACTCAATTAGCTAATAATCATTTGTATATTTATCATTTGATTGCTATCTATGCTATTCAATTCTAACTATCATACCATTTCCATTTGTTAATTCCCAAAAAACTCTTAATTAATAAGTATTGCTTATGAAATAAAAATTGTGCTAAAAATAATATTATTTATAAAGGGTTATATTTGAATATTTATCACCAACCAACCATTGTATAGATTACAAAAATCTTAACTTTCCATTTTATAGAATTAATTTTTTCTAAAATAAATAATTAATATCAGAAGAAATTAAAGTTTAATTTAATTTAAAAAAATGATATTATATATCACGTTGAGGTTTTTTTAATATTAATGAAACAGTTTTGAACAAGAAATAATGCAAGCATTTATTTAAAAAAATAATATTTTGTAAGTATATATTTGAAAAAATGCATTTATTTATTATTCATAGTTGTATTTATTACATGTAATACTCACTGGTTTTTCAAAAGTTAATATAAACACCGGAATTTTAAAAAATTTTGTAGCAAATTTGTTTGTTCTGAGAAAAAACTCTCATAAGACAAATATATCTTTGCAAGTTTTGCGTGAACTAATTTACACTTTAATACCGTTAATAACGAGAGTGAAAAAGCTAAAATTTATAATTACTTAACTAATAAGCTCATGAAAACGAGCAAATAGAACAATCTGAAAGCAATTAATTAAAAGTATCCATCAGAAAGTGATAGACAATTTCCCGTTTAATTGCAACACCTGTAGAAAAAAAAAATTATTGCGCATTTATGCAAAAAAAAAAAAAAGATTTTAAATTGCTTAAATAAAAATCAAATTTATAAATAATTAGCAAATATTTTGCCATTTACCAGTAATTTGTAATGAATAGTTTTATGTAATTTTCAAAATTCTTTATTTTAACAAAATTCAAAATTCATATTTCAATTTAAAGTAAAATAACAATATTATTTGACCCGTTTTAAAATACTTTCTAAATCAAAATAAATAGTTTCAGTAAATTACATTGCTTGAATACACTTATTAAAAAAAGTAATCAAAAAAAAAATGGATAAAAATCTGCTGACAAATTTTAAATCATTGACTACATGTGATCAAATGTTAATTATTTTTTCAAAAATGTTCGTTTTGATCGAACTTCTTTAGGTAATAAAATGTCTGCTACAAGCGCTGACATAGAAGCTGTTCCGATTGACTGCTTGAAGTAAAGTTCTGATAGAATCGTTTCTAACTGAGGCATTGTTTCTAGAAGAACCATACAAGAAATATAACGAAGTGGTTGACATGGATAAGTTAATTGTTGATGTTGTGCAAAATTAAACGCTGTGAGCTGTTCTACTTGTGGATTACGTCCTAAAAAAATACTACTCATTTATTATTACTTTTTAATTAATCAATTAATTAATTAATTAATAAGAAAAAAATTATATTTCAAATTACTGATAATTATTTTTTTTAAAAAAAGAAAACAAAAAATAACGATATATTAATTATTTATTCTGTTATCATTATTATAATACTTACCTTTAATTAGGCTTAAAAGTCGTAATTGATTGTATTCTGTTGGATCAAGCCTAAGTTGCTCCAATTGACTTACTGCTGACAAAAGTTTCATCCTCATTTGAATATTGATTGTACGCTCATTTGCTAAGATATTACTTTGCAAAAGCCTGTTTTCAACGGCTGATAATAGAAATAATACACCCCATGAAGATGTAAATGCTGCCACCTTAAGTTAGAATCAGTTAGACAAAACTGATAATTTATTAAAAGTTTTTAAGTTAATTATTCATTTTGTCTCAGTCATAAATTTCTGCTTGTATTACTCAAAAATTGATTGCAAGAAGCAAATACCATAATTAGAATTAAAAAATTTAAATTTAAATCGAAAAGTTTAAATCAATTAGTCAATAAGTAATGCATGCAAAAAATTTTTGATAATTAAAACTTTAAAGAGAGTATTCTTATATTTTAGAATGCATTTCAGATTAAATTTGCTTATTTTGAATACTTGAAAACAAATTTGTTTATCACATAACTTTTGAAAAGTTTAAGTCTTTATATTTAATTTTTTCAATACTTTAAAAATTAGTTTTTTTAAAAATTGAAAAAATGTTTCAATTGCAGGCTAAATTGATATTGTCAACTGTAGACTTGCTGCTTGTAGTCAACTTTTCAGTAATACAAGTACAAAAATAAAAGTTGACAAATGACAGATTAATCTAATCAGTAATATTTGAAGTTATATTACAAAAGTTGCAAATAATCACTTGTTCTTGAGGTGATAAACACGCAAAAACAATCAGTGATTTAGACCAATGTAAAATTTGAAAAAATAAACGAGCTGCAGCATCCTTCGATGTTAATGAAATATCACTCAGTGTACAAGACAATGATGAATCTGATTCTGATCCAAATTCTGGCTTAAAAAAATCTACTAAAATTTTATTAAATTTAAGCATCATTTTTTATTTTCTTATAGACTTTAAATTTTCAACTTGTAACTATTGTAAATTTACCAGTACTCATTTCACTATTATCATTATTTATCTCAAAATTTTACAAAAATGTGATATATAAAGCATATTGAAGTTAATTGATATAATTATGATTAACAATCAAAATAAGCATCATTATTATTAAGCTTAAATAGGAGTAGTAAAAAGTCATAATTGTTTTGTCAACAAAATTTTACCGATCGTTCCCTAGTTGAAGTAGACGCTGAAAAAAAAGCAGTATTACGTCGAAGCGTTGAATTTCTTGGACCTCTTTCGTGTTGAACTGCTTCTTTATTCATCCCAATTTGTAAGCATTTCATTAATCGACATGCACGACACTGATTTCGATGAGTTTTATCTACTAAACATTTGCCTTCTTCGCCACCTCCTCGATTTTTGCATACATATTGACGATGCCGTCTTATAGAACGCTAAAAATTTATATTCTGCAAAATTAATTTAATTATTTTCAAAAAATATTGCAAGAAAATTACAATCTTATTAAAAGTTAATAAGCAATTAATAAATTAAAATTAATTAAAATATAATACCTTAAAAAACCCAGCACAACCATCACAACTAAATATTCCATAATGCTTGCCAGAAGAATGATCTTGACATACTCGGCAAGGTACGTCCAATAATATACGACCTAGATCAAAGTTTTATAAATGAAGTAAAGTTTTTTAAATTTAATATTACTTATCACAAAATTATCACTAAAGAAAAGAATAGTATTATTTAAAAATTAATTCAAATACCATGTAAATACTCACTTTTAATTACTACTTTTACAGTATTTAATTAATACTTAAATTCAAATCTGTTAAAAATAGTTTGACAAATAAAATTTTAAGTAAACATAAACTTTCATATTGCATTTTGCAATGTTATAATAAAAAGCAAAAAATTAAAAAGCACAATTATGAATTTGATATGCAAAAAAAGATTTATGTAACTAAAAATGATGTTATAAAAATTAAGTTAAAGAAATTACAATACAAATTTAAAATTACAATTTTCCTTTCAGGAATTTTTTTTTTTGAATTGAATTGAATTGAATAAACAACGAACAAAAAATTGCTTTCATTTTTTAAAATATAAACTCTGTTATAGTTGTATATGTTCATGCATGTGTAATACGGTAGAATGTAAGAAGTTGGAAATCACTTTTTAGCTAAATTATTGGAAAGCGATAAGTAATAATATGAAAAAACACCCGAGGCTATTCACCATTTTGTCTTGGAAGGAAACGTCGTATTATCTCCTTAAAAGCTAACTAACAGATTTTGTCAAACAAATTATTCACGACATCAAACAATTTTCATGCATATTATTTATTTAGTAAGATTTAAAAATTCTTTTTGAAAAAGAAAAAGTTTGACCTTCAAACTTTGTCTCAGTTTTTAGTGAATAAAATCTTCAACTTTGCTAACAATGCTTAAGATGTAAAGCAAATCTCAACAATTTAGCTTTAAAATTACTTAAATCGTGAAGCTTAGCTAATAAAATTATGCATAAAATAATGATCAAAATATGAAATAATTTCAAAAAACTTTTAAACTGACTGATATTGATATGATTATTATGTCAAAGAGCAAAAGAAATAAATTTAGCATCAAAATTTTAAAATTTTTTCATAAATATTAGTAAGTAATAGCACTTGTAAAATTTTTTAGATTTGCTTTTAAAAAATTTATGGAAAACTTTTTTTCGAAAAATACTTTTTTTAATTTAACATTTGTAAATTATTACACTTCTCAATAAATAAATAAAAGAGATTAAATAATAATATGAAATAACTTCAAAAAGTTTTGATTAAATAAAATTACTTCAATAATTTCAAAAAACTTTTACACTCTCATTGAATATAATTTTGTTTCAGTCTGAATTAATAACAGCATTTGAAGCAGTTTCTCAATAATAGTATGAATAAATTTGTTGTAGAATTTTTGAAGTAACTCTTTATTTATTCCATTTTCAACAGTAACATATATTTACTGTTACTACCATTATTTAATAATTGCATTAAATTGATAATATTTACTAATTGAATTAAAATTTCTTCAGCAGCAAGTAAAAATATTGAAATAATTTTAAAACTATAAGTTGGTAATCATTATTAAATTTAAATTTCTTACTGATTAAAAATTTTATCCGAGAAAATGTCTTATATTTGACACTTTGTAATCCTAATGAGTTTAATTTATTGTTAATCAAATAGCAATATTCAAATAGTTACTTACTACTAAAGTACTCTGTACAAATATTATTCTTTCAAAATTGGCTTCAACAATAAATTTTAGAATATATATCGATGAAGATGTGATAGAAGCGATAGAAAAATAAATGTATATCTAATGCTGACAAAAATGGAATGGGATATCTTTTAAAAAAAAGTTTTAATTAGGTTAAACACTTTTCGAATTAAATATCATAAAAATAGTCTTGCCTTGGCATATGACCTTTTTGTTTTAGAAATTTTCAATTGATTTTATTCTTTAATTTACAGTAGTAATCACTTCGAAATTTGAAAATTTTGCAAAAAGAGTTGAAATATAAAGCAAAAAATTTTTGCGTTCTTAAATAAAACTAAATAATTTCAATGCTTTTATTATTTTAAAAATTATATTTTCTAAAATTTTATTGTCAGTTATTGCATAGATCATACAAAAGGATATTTAGTTGTAATATGATGTATTGTTTAAGGATAAAAGTTGACCAGGAATCATTTCCTGGTCAACTTTTATCCTTCGACAATACATAATACAAGCGAATGCTAACAATACAATAAGTATAATGTTTTCGTTTTGCATAAAATTTTTAGTGTTGGTAAGTGAGGAATTTGCAAAGTAAGTCCTTATCATTTTTATATCAAATATTTGCTCAAATATCTGTTAGCATAACTTTTAGAGCCAATTTTTCTACGGTAATTACACTCTAAGACTTAAAACTGCTAGCACATATTTATTTACAATTCAATTGATGAAAACATGTAATGCCGATTTTAATTTTTTGAATTTATGAATTTTCAGTTTTATTTTAATCTCACAAAAGTTTTGTTTTCAGATTGTTAGTAGTATAGCAATTTGTCATTGTTAATTTGTCACATTCAGTAACTGAAAGAGCTAATTTTTCAAGTTTTTGTTATGGTAAACTTCACAATGTCATATTAATGGCCTATGACTTTTTTCAAATACTCTAACATGAAGTTCATATTTATTTATAACTATTACGAAGTACTTCTCATTTATAGCTCTTCAAGTATCAAATATAATAGAAATATCGAAATACTTGTTGAAAACTGAAGTACTTATTTGTCAAATATAAATATTTTAAAATTTCTACAAGTTATCTATTACATTTAGCAATAAATACTTCAAATATTTAAGAATTAATAAATATTTGAAATTAAAATTTATATTATATTATGGTAATCAGATTGAAAAAAACACAATTCTTTCAAATTTAAACTATTCTTTTTGATTTTGACAATCTCATTTATTTCTAATATTAGCTTTGTTTGTAATTGAGAACTTTGCTGTAATAATTGCAACAAATACTTAAATACTAATAATGAAAATTACTGCTACCTTTTTCAGTTTTTCCTCGCCCACATTTGCAAATTAAACTTTTTTAGTGCTAAATGTGATACTTTTCCAATTTTATTAGCTTGATTTTTACAATTTAAATTTTAATACAGTACATATTTGATTGCAAGTGGTATAAATTCATGATTATAGCAGCAAGAAAATTCAAAATACAAAACAAATAAATTTGAAACTCATATAATTGGTGTAGAATCTTCTAATTCAATCAATGTAATGATATTCTTTTAATTTCAAAAGTAACTCAACTAAAACATAAAAAACAAAACTTTTGTATGCACAAAATTTTCATTGACACTTACTGTATAATTAAAAAAATATCTATTTTTTTCTAGAAATTATTATCAAAAATTTAGATAGTCGTTACTTTTGAGAAGTGATAATGAAAGTATTTTTATATTAAATGACAAGCAATTTTCTTATTCTGTTTTATTCATCACAAAAAACAAAAAAACAGAAGCAAAAGCAAAAAACTTACAGTTGCTTTTTGAGAGAAGTCGTGAAAGATTCATTTCTTTTTGAATATTACGGTAAAATGATAAAAACTTGATTGCACCTCTTTAGTAGGAACTCAAAATTTTGTGACTGATAGACACTACTTTGCTTCAATAATTAATAATTCAGAATAAGCTATTAGCATCCGAAAGTGTAATGAAAAAACAAGAATTCTGTTTAGAGATTTTTTATTGATTTGAGTTTTTAATTAATTGACTACAATAGTTGTCCAATCTAACTAAGTGAGTTTATGATTTGCTACCTCAGATTTAAATTGTTTACAACTGCAATAATCAAAAATTAATCTTATTAAAGATATAATTAATTTTTACTCTATTTGAATAACAATTATGCAGAGCTTTCTCAACACACTTAATTATAAGATCAACTTTTACCAAACATTCTTACATTAAATGACAATAAAATGGATACTTTTCTATTTTAATATTTAAACCTTAAAAAATTTGTAACTATGGTAGTTTATCAAATAACTTTACGGAATCTTCCAGTTAAAAGCAGCTGACTTTAGAAAAATTATCAAATAATCCTAAATAATATATTCAATTGAGATTAAAGTAGCCTAAAATTTGATCAATTAATTTAGAATAAATTACAAATAAATATGAGACAAAAACATACTTGATGGATTCATTGAAGTTTGCACATGTAAAAATGGTTGGATATGATTGAAGTTAGATGCACACATTCACATACATACAAGTTGAGATTCCGAGCGGATTCCAAAATGGATTCCGAACGGATTGACTTGATATTGAAAAGCAAAAGGTAAATGGGCTGCGATTAATGTTCTTTGCAAAGTTCACAAATGACTCGAGCCTTCAACCAATCATAACGGGCGTGTCTAATTCTACCCTTATTCTATTTCTTTCTTCCCTATCGCTTTCTCATCTCATATCTTTTCGCTCCCTCTGTGCAATGATTGGTTAGTAGTGAATTTTTCTTTAAAGGATACGGTGGGCGTAAACTTATTCATTTGATAATCATTTTAGCACAAATAAGACATGTTTCTTTCTCTACTTTGCCCATAATACTGATAATAATAATGATAATAACAGTGACTATATAATTAACTGCGTTCTGAAAATTTGTTAATGTCATTATTTTATTCAAAACTATATTATGTTCATTTGTATAAGTTTAAAAAAAAGAATCAGTAAATCTAAATTGATTTTTATAAAAAATTGAGCTTAGATTTTGCTTGTTCATGTCTGTTGTCTTGTTATTACTATAAGACATGCAATTATTTATGAATATTCAGCATTATTATTAAGCACTTGAAATGTTTCACTGGCTTCACTTCACTTGACTAAAAAGTTTTATTTACTTCTTTTGTTTTCTTTTCAAACATCATATCGATTTGATTTCTATGAATTGATCAAGGTAATGGTAATTTACAAATTTTCAAATATATTTTTAACTTTTGACTTCAAAATGTTTAAAAAGTGTAACTAAATGTAAAAGAACTCTAAAAATTAATTTTAGGATAGTTTAATCTCAGTATCTAAAATTGATAATTCATACAATATATTGTATTAATTTAAAATTTTGGCACAAAATTCTGTAGTACAGTTTGAAAATGTTCAAGAAAATATCAGTTAAAAAATTATCTGTTTGTATAAAAAGTAAAAAATAAATAAAAAAAGTTTAAATATATTTTAGTGACAATTTAACACGGATACTCAACGTAATATATTTTTACTTGCATTGCTAAGTTTGTGATATACTTTATAAACATTAATCATAGTCATAATGACAGG